AGCATGCGATTTTGTGTTGACTACCGCCGCCTGAACGACGTTACAAAGAAGGACAGCTATCCCTTGCCAAGGATTGATGACACGCTGGACATGCTTACAGGCGTAAAGTGGTTTAGTACGCTGGATCTGAAAAGTGGCTACTGGCAGGTTGAAATTGACCCTAAGGACAAGGAGAAAACTGCATTCTCCACAGGAAAGGGCCTGTGGCAATTTAAAGTCATGCCGTTTGGATTGTGCAATGCTCCAGCAACGTTTGAAAGGTTGATGGAGCTTGTACTTACCGGGCTAATTGGAGATGCCTGTCTCGTCTATTTGGATGACATCATCATCGTAGGCCGTACGTTTGAGGAACACCTTCAAAACCTGGAACGCGTGCTCATGAAGATCCAGAGTGCCAACCTCAAGTTGAGTCCTAAGAAGTGCTCACTATTCAAACGGCAAGTTAGTTTTTTGGGGTATGTAGTGTCGGAAGAAGGTATCCGCACGGATCCAGAGAAAATTGCTGCTGTCAAGGAGTGGCCGGTCCCAAAAGACAAGACACAGGTTAGAGCATTTTTGGGTTTGTGCTCTTATTATCGGCGATTTGTGAAGAACTTTGCAGATATAGCCAAACCTCTGCACAAGCTAACCGAGGAGAAGCGACAATTCTGCTGGGATGAAAGTTGCGATAATGCATTCCAGGAGCTCAAGAACCGTCTGTGCAAAACACCTATTTTGGGGTACCCTGATGCGGGCAAGGAATTCATAGTTGACACAGACGCAAGTGATATAGGACTTGGCGGTGTGTTGTCTCAACGGAATGGTGATCAAGAGATTGTGATAGCGTACTTCAGCAAGTCGTTGTCAAAGCCGGAAAGGAACTATTGTGTCACAAGACGGGAATTGCTTGCTGTGGTAAAGTCCTTGCAGCACTTTAGCAAATATCTTCTAGGGCGGAAATTCCACTTACGAACTGACCATGCTGCACTCAAATGGCTATTGCAGTTCAAAAATCCGGAAGGACAAGTTGCGAGATGGATTGAACTACTGCAGGAATACGACTTTGTGATCGAACATCGCAGCGGGAAATCTCATGGCAATGCAGATGCATTGTCAAGAAGACCTTGCGCTGAAGATTGCAAGCATTGTACTAGGCAAGAGGGTAAGGAAGTGGTATCTGTGAGAATGCTCAGAACAGACCAGCTCAGCAATGAGTGGAAGGACAGCCTACAACATGCACAGCAGGAAGATTCGGACATTAAGCCGATTCTGGAATGGATGAAGGCCAGTGCTCCTAAGCCCAAGTGGAGCGACGTCTCAGCAATGAGTTCGACCACGAAAAGCTATTGGGCCCAATGGGACAGCTTGCTGATTCAGGATGGAGTCCTGTGCCGTAAATGGGAAAATGGTCGGGGAGACAGTTGTCATTTGCAAATGGTTGTCCCTAAGGCTAAAGTACCGGATGTTCTACAGCTGTACCATAGTGGTTGTTCAGGAGGCCACCTGGGAGTTAAACGAACTCTACTGAAAATCCGAGAACGGTTTTACTGGGTCCACTGTCGTGACGATGTCGAGGACTGGTGCCGCAAATGTACAAGTTGTGCGGCTGTAAAGGGACCTCAAATTCGTAGTAGAGGCGCATTGAAATTGTACAATGTTGGTGCACCATGGGAGAGGATAGCCATTGACGTTGCGGGGCCGTTTCCGGAAAGTGAAAGTGGTAACAAGTATTTCATGGTTGTGATGGATTACTTCTCTAAGTGGCCAGAAGTCTTCGCCATTCCAAATCAAGAAGCTTCAACAATTGCAGATAAACTAGTTCATGAAGTCTTCTGTCGTTTTGGAGTACCTTTAGAGATTCACAGCGATCAAGGAAGGAATTTCGAGTCTCAAATATTCCAGGAAACTTGCAGAGTTATGGGTACTCATAAAACACGAACAACTTCTTACCACCCACAATCTGATGGAATGGTAGAACGATTTAATCAGACATTGGAAAGGTACCTGGCAAAAGTTGTGGAAAAACGGCAACGAGACTGGGACAGGCACATACAACCACTTTTGTTGTCATATCGAAGCGCTGTTCACGAAAGTACGTCAGTGACGCCAGCTTTCGCAAACTTTGGGAGAGAATTACGGCTGCCTGCAGACCTGATCACCGGAATACCACCTGATGCCCCACGCAGTATAACCGATTATGCAAATGACTTGCGGAACAAAATGAATGACATTTATGAGCACGTCAGACAGACGGGCCAGCAAACGTCTGAGAAGATGAAAACACGGTTTGACCGCAAAATGAACAACAAGGGGTTTGATGAAGGTTCACTAGTGTGGTTACACAATCAAGTTCGCAGCAAAGGGAAATCTCCTAAGCTTCAAGCTAAATGGGACGGACCGTACCGGATTGTGACAAGGATCAATGACGTAACCTACCGGATACAGAAAGGTGCCAGAGGTACTCCTAAGAGTGTCCATGTAGATCGACTGGCGCGTTATTATGGGGCCAATAATGCTCGGGACGAGCATGTCTTAGGAGGGGGCAGTGTTGCGCGCCACTATTAATGTCTTGTACATGGCAACACTAGTTACACTAGCGCCCCCTAGCGTCGAGTAAATGAAAGTATTGCGTGCCACTATTAATGTCTTGTACATGGCAACACTAGGTACACTAGCGCCCTCTAGTGTCGAGTAGCAGAACTAGGAGAGTCAAGATCCTTCCAGAAATTTCGGGACCGATATGTACTCGAACATTCTAGATGTCGCTACAGTAGAAAATTCTGGAAACTATCTGAGGCCCTATATAAGGCCGGTATAGACCACGACCGAGGCAGTATTGAATTGGCGATACAAGAGAATATTTCGAAGCGAAATAACGGCGAACTGTGTTTTATTATTAGTGGATTTTAGATTGTAATTAGTGTTGCGTAATTAAAGTGTCAATTTTGGTAATTCAATCGGCAGTTTTTAATTGTCTCGAACCCCAAGCTCGTAACAGAGCCATGCTGTAGCTATATTAGTAGTATAGTTTTAACACGAATGGGTCGGCTCGACCGGGGAAGGACCACGCTCTCACAAAATACTAGCGTAAAATAGCAGCTTAACACTGCTGTGTTTCGTATGGTGAGTGTAGAGAACCGGAGACCCATTTTTACTGGAAACAAGGCATTCCATCTTAGTCAATGACAACGCATCTGCATTTTGTTTCGTAATCAAGGATAGATGTAGATGTATATGGGCCACAGGAACCACTTACCATCAGGTGGACTGTGTGCTCGTTTGTCACCCTATCCTATAAAAAAACCGAACAAGTGTAAGTAGAACTTGTGCCTCGAAGGTTCCGAATCAACTTAATTTAGTATGTAGAATTGGCAAGTTAAGCAACGAATATTGCTCTAACCAAAAGGTAAAAAAAGTTGGATTAAGAAAAAATTAACCCTAGAACCCTACACTATCCGACGTACTTGTTATCCCTTAACAGGGGTGCTGTGTTACCTCATACTAAAAACATGGATTTTTAAAAATAAAAACCAATTAGTTAAACTATTAAAAAGGTACAGCTTAAATATGTGCCACTGCTAGGCATAGGCCTCCTCTCATTTCGGAGAGGGTTGAGGGCAAGGACGTGTCCGCCGTGCTGCACCAACGCATGTTGGTGGGCTTCACATGTCTTCGAAATATTTATTTTTTATTTCTCAGTCGTTTCGGTTTCTTCACGTTTTCCTACGCCGTCGTGCACGTGGTAAATTAGCACTTAAAATTGCAATTAACAAATGAAACTGTTACATATTATGTAGTACGAACGTGAAATTATAAATTAGTCTCAAAATCTAAATTCAAAGACATTCATCTGTTGCTCCATATAAATGCTTTTTTATCCTTATTTATTGGAAAAAGCCACAGCAAACCTTACATATATTGTACAGGAACGGAACATTAATTAGCTATAACTTCTTTAAGGAAAGCTATAATTAACTATTGTATATCCCTCGTCAAATTCGTTGTTTGAAAGCTTGGCTCCTTATGTTCATTGAGCTCTAAATTTTGTTTTTAACATTCATCAAAACTTTGCCGGCTTATTATTTGCCCTTCATATGAATGCCTATCACGAGCAGAATTTGTTTTGTTAAGCAATTTGGTCCCTTGTTGGATTTTCACTACTATATTTCCGTTTGTGTATTTAATTATTATATTCATATACTTTAATTTCTTTTAAATAACGTTACCTCCACACTAGCATTTTCTCCTGTATCGTGAAGCCAGTTAAGAAACATATATTGCTCAAGGATAAACATCCAGACCCGGAACAATGATTTATAGGCCATACAAATACTTGTTCCATGCGGGATTCGAACCCGCGGTCGCCAGCGCTGAAACTCATTGCTAAGCCACCGCGTCACGGAGAAGTCCGTAATGACTGTTTTTAATGAATGAAATTAATTAAAAATAAAGTTATGTAAAAGATTCCATTAAAATATTCTAATACATTAAAGAATCATGCCCACTTTCCATACATCTAAAAACCTGATAGTGAAAGTTGATGTATAATTATAAGGTATAGTAGAAAAACTACATGTAAGCTTAGAAAATGTCATATAGTCATTTTTACGACTTAAACGCTACGAATCCCAAAAAATACTAATGTCACTTTTTAAGTTAGGATTTTCCGTAACCAAATAGGTAATAAAGAAATAAATGTGCTATAACTTATTATTAACGCTCGAAGTTAAGATAGCAATACTTACCTAGATATGGTCTAAAACGTTTTTTTACTTTGTGAATTTCTTGAAACCAATTGCCCCTAAGTCACCACTTACTCTAGATGATTGTCACCATAAATTGAGTGTCTAGCACTATCTGCTATTTCTTCAGCACACATAAATACTTACTAACTACATTTAGTTCATGTTGTACTGTCAAAATTATCAGTTATCAACCAAACACATTTCATTGGCCTATGGTACATACTTACATACATACCTGATGAACAAAATGGGAAAAACAAATAAAACACTATGTTAAAGTGGAATGGTTTGTTAATTATCATCATTTTCACTTAAATCTCTCACCACTACGTCATCCAGAAATTCTGCTGGAGCAGAAATATTTTCTTGATACCTAGCCCATCCAAGGTACCACACTAACGTCATAACGTGAGCGCAACATCCAATGGTTCGTCGACCGACCAAACAATTACAACAATATTCGACTATAGCAGCTCTGACAGACACATTATTTTCTATTAAAATATAGACATAATATTGTTTTCTTGAAATGTGCCTGGACTTAATTTTTTTCTTTTCTTCTTATTAATGTTCTATCACTACTTCCTCTGAGATTATACTGAGAAAAATCTTGTGTATCCCTACATATTTCTATTCTATATGATCCTTGAAATCGAATATGTTCCCCGTAATATTATCTGGCTTGCCTTATCTGGTAAGTGCCTAGAGCAAATAGTATTAATTCACTATAACTTAAGCTAGGAAACACAAATAAATTATCTCGGTCAGCTGTTATACTTTGAAAAACAGTTGACCTTCTATTCATATTTAGTTCCTCAACCAGTAGGGCTAAATTATTTTCAAAATTAAATCTCTCTCTAATTATTGCGACTATTTCATTAGAATCATCTCTATCACGAAGACGAACACCAAATCGGTTGAATAAACTGGCCGCTATCTGAAAGTTCTGCATCATATTTGGCACTGATTTGTGAAAATAGTTTTGGCTCAAGAGCTTAAAGTCTCTTTTAAAATGTCCATTTACTGCCTCAACTACCCAGCGACATATTGTTACACAGCGGCTCCGGTTGACCTGCTGTGTTGTTAACCGGTGTTCGTCTTCTAATAGAGAATCAGGCATATGCGGCCGATAATTACAACCTTCTAGCATTCTTATAGAATCCCGGAAACCCCTATCCAATATGAACACATCATTATCTTGAAAATATAATCTAAGAGAAGAGTTTTCATTATCAAAAAGGGAATTTTTTATGCTAGCATCGGATGTGGTAGCCTTGTATGGACCGTAACAATCTAAGGTGTAACCATCACATGCCACAAATAAAAATGGCTTTAATACATTTTTATATTTATGTAATGAATATGTATCTTTTTGAAAGGAGTAATTGGAACTTTTATTTATATTTATGTAAGTCCCATAGCAAATAATTATAGTGTTTGTATAGTTTTCATTGTATGAATGAATGAATGAAAATACTTTATTGTACACCACAAACTAATAAACAATTTACATAACAATAGACAGGTTAAATGTACAATTTGGCGGCCTTATCACTACATAGCGATCTCTTCCAGGCAACCAATGGTATAAAGGAATAAACAATGAATACTGGGTAGGTGGTGCAATATAATTATACAAAATATAATATCAATAAATGCGATATATAGACAATAAATGCAATAAAATAACATATAAATAACTAACACATGAAATGATATAAATTACTAATACATAATAAAAGATAAAAGTAAAGCATATAATACATACATAAACATACATATATAAGAGTATATAAACAAACTTACATATCTACTCAAAAATACATAAATAAATTACATTGTATATACCATTTGGTATTGTAAGGTTATGATCCATTAGACTTTCTCTCTAGGTACAAAATCTTGAACCAGGATTTCCCTGCATTTGTTCATTAGTCGCTCTAATGTGCTACGCAGTACATCTAATAATGTAGACAACCGAACATCTGATTCGCCAGTCCTCATTTTAATTAACAATGCAGCTAATCCCAAAATGCCTTTGTGTGTTTCTTGTATGCGAGGAACTTCATTAAGAAGGGTGAAAAAGTCGTATTTGGACCTTCCTGTCCAAAAAAAGAATATGTTATCCTCAATTTCTTGAATGGCTTCTACATTTGTGAAAATAAGGTAGGGCTTGAAAGCATTAATAAACGAAAAAATGTGTTCTACTTGTTGTGAAGTAAATGTATTCATGCTATTATTAGAATCATACAGATTACTCCACTCGTTACTCAGGCTATGTTCCGTACAGACACGGCTGTACACTGGGATATAATATTTATATGTACTGAGTATTGTGCTCTAAATGAATCTGCCATATTGTGCAGATTAATATTAGTACATTGAGGAAAAAGGCAGTGAGAAGCAGTATTTGCTGCCCGCCTATAATTTTCCAATGTTATGTTGCTAGATACAACTTCAGAAGGCATTTCTAGACTTTCATGAACTGGTTGAGAAGCGATTGGCTCAGAGTCACATGTTTCAAGGTCAACTTCTCTAGTTGTAGACACTCGGCGAGCTTCATCAACTTGCTCAATACGCATGGCAGCACGCTTACACTTCCTCCAGCATGAATGGCATATCCTATCAGATAATGATATCTACGAAAGAAAACATTTAATTAATATCAGGTATTATATATATTAACACTAGCAAGACAGAAGAAACAGGTAAACTAAAAAGGCGTTCAAGAATCATTCGACCCATCATTGCTACCTAGTCTCTAATTATGCATATATATATTTATAGTAACATTTTAGAAATAATAGGCAATATTGGATGTTACAAAAGTAATAAAATATTTTTAGTTTCTAGTGTAAATAGGTGTTTAATAAATAACGAAATTACAGTTATGACATTGGAATATTTTTGGTTGATTGCATCTGCCACATAGTAGATTTATATAAGTTACACACTTCATTGGTTTTATTTTTACAGTGAGTTTGATAGCAATTATACCTCTTTCTGAACTCAGCAGCTGGCATTTCTGAGGCTATAAAATGTTGCAGTGAGGTCTCAGGAGTGGGTTCTTCTAAAATGTTACTACTCAGTTTGACCGCCAATTGCAGTATAATAATATTTTAGTTGTTAATTTTTTAGTACAAAACCAAGGCATTTATTACCGATAAATCTAAAATATTATAAAATACTTGTACTGGCCATCCTCTAGATTACAGAAAATAAAATTAAACTAAATATAATCATCCTACTCACAAAAACAATTCATCATTTGAATAGGTCAAATGAACCTAGCCTTGTATGTCAATGCTATTTTTATTCATATTTGTATGAACATATTACAATATAAATACTTTTGTTTATAAAACAATAGTAATTCACATAAAGTCAGGTCCAAACATGTATAAAAAATATATCATATACTGACAGGTCATTTGACCTGAATTTGAACTTGTAGCGCTGATTGTTAATAGGAGACATGTGATTTTTATAGTCAAAAAGCAATAACTGTTATTTTCATGTTAAAAATATTATTATGTACAATACTTTTTACTATTTATTTGTGGCTAAAATTATTACAGCATTCAGTCAATCAATAACAGATATAATCATTTCTGTCCAGAAGACAGAAAGAATAATTGTCTACAGTTAAAAAATGAAGTATTATACTGGCAAATAATGAATATTTTAAAAACATAAATACCTGACGTGGTGCAATTTTTGTTTGTATAGAGCATTTATCTGCCTTTGCTCTTCTGAAGGATTGTCAAAAACAATAGAATGGCTCTGACGATTAAGTGTTGACCATCCGCAAATACTGCACACTTGTCTTCGACCTGGTTGAGATGACCCTGACTCTTGAGCACCATCACAAATTGTTGTTAATTGCTGGTTTATGCTGCTCAAGAGGAGTTCATTACAACGTTCACAAATGTAATCTTCCTCAGTAATCTGAAATTGGAAACTCAATTTAAACTTCTTTTGATTACATTTAATATCAGCAGCACATGTTGAACAAATGATTGTAAATTGACTATAAAGTATAAACAGCAGGGAAAGATTGACAGTTCAAAACGAAACATGAAATAACAAGACAAAACTATTAGTTTAGTCAATGTATAATCTTTATTAGGCATAAATACTTACGATTACTGGTGATATCCAGTCGCTAAGTAACGAAATAACTCTTGTGTTAAGCTCATGAACGAGATAACGTCGAAACGTACTTAAACAGACATTGCAGTTTATGCAAAGTATACGTCGACTTTTTACTGACGGCGGCATTGTCAAGAGAACGGATTTACAACGGTATGGTAAGCAAAGGTCGTCAAATGAGGAAGATATCGAGGTCCAGGGCGGTATATAGGGTTGTAAAAAGAAGTAACACAAACAAAATCATAGATAAATATATATGTAGAACAAAATGGCACAGTATACACAACGAGACGCAAACGCAACAACGAAGAACTGCGCCGATGCCAATTGCAGAACTGTCAAATGTCAAAAAAAATTCGTTTCATTCGTCCGCACTCGATGACAAACTGAATAATTAATTTATTTTATTATTATATTATTTTATATTAATATTTACTATACAAATACAAATAAATAACTACTTACTGATTAAATTCTGTATAATTTGCCTGATTAAATTCTGTACAATTTGCCGAAGGGTATGTATGTGGTCTACGGTGCAAAAGCCTTTTTGGAAACTGGCTTGTTCGGGAGGCTGAAAAGTCGTCAATTATTTGTGCGAGACGATTCGTAATGACTCTCAAAAACAGCACGTAGACGCGGCTCAGAAGGGAAATCGGTCTGTAGTTGTTCAAGAGCGCGTTGTCGCCTTTCTTGAAGAACAAGACCACTGTACTTCTGCTCCACGCCTCCGGAGTAGTGCCACCATGGAGGACGGAATTAAATAGCTTCTGAAGAAATTTAAATATCGGTTTTCCATCCGCTTTCAGAAGCTCCGCTGTAATTCGGAATTGTGTCGGATAAGACTAGCATTTGGATCGTTACTCACACTTGCATGTGACTTCAACGATGATGTGTATAGCTGCTCAATCTCATTCAAAATATCAGGTGTCCCGCAAACGACGCTGCCACACTCGGTCTTTAGCTTCGACAGTTGGCTCTGTCTGGCAGACAGAGCCAACTGTCGAAGATCTCTAGCAAAGACTTTGGAGCCCTGGTTTTGCTCGATCGCTCCGTCAATACGTATTGTATTGAAGTTGCGTAGGTCCTTATTACATCTAATTATAATACTTGCCAACCAAGCTCTCTCAATTTTTGCTGAGTAGCCAAATCTGTGTGTAGTTTGACGTTATCATGATGAAAGACCACACCTTTTCCGTTGATCGATTCCGGCCGTTTTTTCTCAATTTCTTGCTTGAGTCTTATTAGTTATTGGCATTAGAGATTCGAATCGATGGTTTTACCCGGTCATAAAAGCTCACAATAAACGATGCCCTTCCAATCCTACCATACACTTAGCATCACCTTATTGTATGTTAATTCGAGTTTCTCAGTCAATGGACTTGACTACACTTTGAATATGATCTTTTTCACACATTCTTGTAGTATGTGATCGGCTTCCATCACCAGTGATCAAAACGTTTCAATAGAGAATCGCCAATGAGTACACGATTCATTAGGTTTCTTTCAGTAAGCTCGTGTGGTACCCGAATATCGAGCTTTTTGTGTAGCCATACTTTTTCAAATGAGTCAAAACTATTTTGTGGTCAATCCTCAATTCCTCGGCTATGTCGAAACTACTAATATGCCACTATTGCTCAACTTTTTCAAAAATCTTATCGACTTTATTCGTATGAGGGCGACCAGAGCGAGCTGCATCTTTGACATCAAAATTCGCAGACTGAAAATGCTGGAACCAACTTTGTGCTACGCTTACTAACACTGCATTAGGTCCGTAAACGTTATAAATTTTTTTGCGGTTTGAGTCGCATTTTTCCTTTTTTCTAATAAAACTTCAGAATGTATCGAATTTCTTCGTTAGATTCACTCAGTTTTTTTTATTTCACAGACATGCAAGTTGCTTCACGATGTTTTACTTCACTGCCGAGCACGTGGTAAATCAGCACTTAAAATTACAATTAATAAGTGAAACTATCTTTACCACCTATATGCAGACGATTTACAAATTTACTCTCAATGTAAGATTGCGGATCTCCCCAATACAATTAGATTAATTAATGAAGATCTTATTCGTATTTCTCATTGGTGTAATTCATTTGGGCTTAAAGTTAATCCATTGAAGACTCAAGCCATTATTATTGGGAGTTCAAAATTAATCTCTCGGTTAACTTTGTCGCTGCTCCCGCCAGTTATATTCGAAGGGACACTTATCCCATACAGTGACAAAGTTAAGAATTTAGGTATTATGTTCGATCAGACTTTGTCTTGGGGACCGCAAGTGAGTGAAATAAGTAGAAGAATGTTTGCCGCAGTTGGTTCACTTCGAAGATTACGCAATGTTCTCCCCATTCCTACTAAAGTTGCGCTGGCTCAATCTCTTCTTTTACCGATCCTTGACTACGCGGACACTTGTTATCTTGACCTAACAGTCGAGCAACTTAATAAACTTGAGCGGTTTCAAAATTATTGCATAAGGTTTATATTTGGGTTACGATAGTATGACCACATATCCGAATTTTGGCCATAAGCTCAAGTGGTTACCGATTCGCCTTCGCAGGAATACTCACATTCTTCATCTTCTTTACTGCATTCTGTTCAATCCGACCACTCCTTCTTATTTGAAAGACCGATTTATATATTTAAGTAGTTTACACTCTCTACCTCTACGATCTCAAAATAATCTCCTTCTAAGTACTCCTAGACATTCCTCTTCCTTCTATTCTAATTCTTTTACGGTTACCGCTATACGACTATGGAATTCTCTCCTCTTACATATTAAAGAATCTAAATCTCTTCCTATATTTAAAAATAAATTAAAACTTTATTACCTTTCCCCTTAAGTAACTACCTGTCGTCATTCACTTTTTCTTTCTTCTTTCTTTATCTTTCTATATTATATTCTGTACACCCCTTCCGCTATCTTTTAAGAATAGTATCCTGTGCCCTAAGGTTGCCTGGAAGAGATCGCTGTTTTAGCGATAAGGCCGCCTGTTGCACCAATGTCCCTTTAAATTTATAAATACTGTAATATGAAATGAAATGAAATATAATGACAAGCGGGCAAAGGGTGGTAAAGATATTAGTAATCTATTTGCAGAATATTTTCAGTCTGTATATAAAAAAAGTAACAAGCAAACATACTCTAGAGATGATTTATGTGGAACAACATCCTCTAGCATATCACTTTACGGTTTTCATTTAGACGAGCAAGAGATACGTTAATATTTACAATCCCTCGATAGTAACAAGAGTACGAGTACCGATTCCCTTCCTCCTATTTTTTTCAAGATCTGTGCGAGTTGCTTGTGTAAAGCTCTTTCTAGAATTTTTAATAGGTCCCTTTCTTCTGGTATCTTTCCTCATCAGTGGAAAATTGCCAGTATAACTCCAATATATATATATATATATATATATATAATCTGGTAATATTGATGACGTAACTAATTATAGACCAATTTCATTGCTACCTGTTTGTGGAAAAGTATTAGAAGCACTAGTATATGGGTTTTTTCCAAAAAAATCAACAGCTTCTAACCCTGTAAGTTATATATTGGACATTTCTGATGCTATTGATAACGGAGAAGAAGTTCACGCCATATATACTGATTTTCGTAAGGCATTTGATGTCGTAAATCATGACATATTAATGCTTAAGCTGGAAGCAATGGGTATTCATGGAACACTGCTTAGATAGTGTGAATCATACTTGAGGAACCGTTCACAACTTATTTATATTAATGGTTTTAAGTCATTCTCTAGTGAAATCCTTTCTGGTGTTCCTCAAGGTTCTCATCTTGGTCCGTTGTTTTTCTTGATATTCATAAATGATATAGGTAAAACCCTTAATTGCAAATTCAAAATGTATGCAGACGACTTAAAAATTTATCGAACTATAAAAAGTGTCCATGATATTGTCGCCTTACAGCAAGATCTCGATAATATTGATAGATGGTGTAGGGATAACCTCATGATATTAAATACACAAAAATGTTACCATATAAAATTTAGCAGAAAAAAGAAGAGTTACACAGCTGAGTATTTTATTGGTGACAGTGTCATAAAAGAAGTGTCTTGCTTGCGAGATTTGGGGGTTTTTGTAGATACTACTCTTTCTTTTCGACACCATTTTGATTACATAATTAAAAAATCTTCAAGACTCTCAGGCTTTATTTGTAGGCAAATGAATATTTTTAAAAATAGTGGACTAACCATAACTATTTACAATTCTCTCGTTAGAAGCCATTTGGAGTACTGCAGTGTTGTTTGGAATCCTATTTATACCATCCACTCTGAGCGAATAGAGCGTGTTCAAAAACGTTTTTTGTATGTCCTTAGCTATGCCGAGAACAAATGCCATATACTTCATTCCTACAAAGATCGGCTAAAACATTTTAAAATGGTTCCGTTGCAAATGCGTAGGAAAATGTTTGATATAATGTTTTTGTATAAATTGATTAATGGTTATATTGACTCACCAATAATTTTAGAGCGCATACAATTCTTAATACCTCGTGCTAATAGTCGCCTTCATAATCGTAAAACATTTAGTCTTCCACTTTGTAGAACCGTTCTCGGACAACATTCGCCATTATAGCGCATGTGTTCATCCAGTAACATTGTTCGATCTGAAGTGGATGTATTCATGGGTTCAGTGGCCTCCACAAAAAACAAATTATTACAGTATCTTTATTCCAAGTATGTAATTTAATTTAGCCTTAATTTAATTTAGTCTTAATTTAATTTAATTTGGTTTTTAATTTAGCATGATTATAACATAACTTTAAGTACCAAACTTTATTGTTAATCACATGTTGTACATTATGTGCAAGCTGTGTATACATATATATTAGAATACAATTTTTGAAATCTTTGTTTTAGATAATACCTGTTAGCATGTTGAAATTGTGTTCTGTTTTGTAGACCAAATAAAGAGAAAAAAAAAATATGTTCCTTGGTGTACAATAAAGTATATTTTACTTTACTTTTACTTTTACTATTACTGAATCATGAAATAATCATCATCATCATTACAGCCCTTCACAAGTCCACTGCTGAACATAGGCCTCCCCCAAAGAATGCCACAAAGCACGGTCCTGAGCCACCTACATCCATCGACTTCCTGCATATCTTACCAGGTCGTCACTCCATCTAGTGGGGGGACGCCCTACACTTCGCCTGCCGGTACGAGGCTGCCACTCGAAAACCTTTCTTCCTCATAGGTTGTCGGTTCTTCGAGCTATATGACCGGCCCACTGCCACTTCAGCTTACTAATCCGTTGGGCTATGTCGGTTACTCTAGTTCTACTGCGGATATAC